CTAGAGAACCTGGCGGACCCATATGGGATCAGATGTGTGTTATGTATATGAGACAAAGCCTTTTCCTGATTATATCTTGAATCTGCATGAATAATGAAGTCAATTCTGTATCATCTGATATAAATTCAGCAGTTTCAATATGTAAGACAACTCTTTCTGCATATTGTGAATCAGTAACTATATTAAGAGGTTCTTTAAAATCCCTTAGCACCATGAGAATAGCATATAATTCTGCCTTTTGGACAGAATTATAAGGGCTTTGTTCCACCTTACTTAAATCTTCTGATTTGTAACCTGCCTTCCCTGATTTATTTGCATCAGTATATAATGTACGGGCTCCAGTTATTGTTGTGTCCCTTATAATGTGTGGAAGGATCCAAGTAGTTCTCTTTATAAGGTTAATTCTATCACTTTTGGGATAATTGCTATTAATCTCTCCTAAAAATTAGCACAAGCTCTTTTCCAAGGTTCATTGTCTTCCATTATTTTTTTAATTTCATTAGTTGTAAAAGGCACTATAATCTCTGCTGGGTCTATACCTGCTAGTTGATGAAGTCTCAATTTTTCTTTTATAATTAATTCAGAGACTGTTTCCACATAAATTTTTAATTTTTACTTGGTTTATGTGGTAAAAGGATCTATCCTAAGATAATATCTTCCCTTTGCATAAAATTCTTGTAGGGGAAATTCTGGAAGGCAATATAACTAGAATACAATTAAGATTTGGATTCATCCTACCCAAATGTGCCTCCAGTAATTTTTCTTCAACAACAATCAATTCTTTTTTTTACTTCAGCTATTAATTCTCTGGGACTATTTAAGTCTATGTCATCGTCTAATGTTTTTTGTTTTTTAAAAAATGAATGATTAGATCAGGTGTTATCTCAACAGCTGGTTGTAGACTGGAAATGTCTCCTAACAATCTTTGAAAGTAATTCAGAGTCCGCAATTGGTCTCTCCTATTTTGTGCCTTTTGTGTTCTAATTTTCTGTAAACCTATTTTTATCACTTAGGTAATTGACAGAATCTCTTCTCTGTATTTTTTCAGGAGCAATTTGTAACCCCCATTTTGGCAAAACTTTCTTTACTTCTTCAAACATTCTTTCTTAAGTATTTATGTTTGAATCAGATAGCAAAATGTCATCCATGTAATGGTAAATTATAGATGTAGGGATTTTTTTTACATATTATTTCCAGTGGTTGACTTACAAAGTATTGGCATAGGGTAGGGATATTGAGCATTCCCTATGGAAGGACAGTCCACTGACATCTCCTAGTAGCCTGAGAATTATTATAAGTAGGCATCATAAAGGCAAATTTTTCTCTATCCTTTTCTTGTAAAGGTATAGTGAAGAAACAATCTTTTAAATCAATAACTATAAGAGGCCATCATTTTGGTAATAGAGAAGGCAGAGGAATTCCAGATTGTAGAGGGGTCATAGCTTGAATTACCTTGTTGACAGCTCTTAGATCTGTCACCATTCTCCATTTACCAAATTTCTTTTTAACAACAAATACAGGAGAATTTCAAGGGCTGGTTGATTCTTCAATATGGTGATTATCCACTATCTCCTGTACCAGCTGTTCTAAAGCCTGCAGTTTGTCTTCTGTTAAAGGCACTGTTTAACCCATAAGGGTTAACCATTTTAAAGGTAGGGCTGTTGGTACCTCTAAAGTTTTGCCAGTTGCTTTATGTTCTTGTACAGTCTGAATGGCTGGTGACCTTTGTGGATAGTACCTTATAATATCCTTCCCAGAATTATGAGTTTCTGGGACTGCAGGAATGTTATTCCTGATATTCCTTTGCTGTAGCAGGTCATGACCCCATAAATTCACTGCAATGTTAGACACACACGGCCTCAGCCCTCCTCTCTGTCCTTCTGACTCTATGCATTCAACCCATCTTGTTCTTTGTTTCTCTTGAGATATGGTTCCAATTCCCAGGAACTGAACATCTGCCTTTTGAAGAGGCCAATTTGGATGCCAAGATTCTGGAGTAATGATACTCACGTCCGTACCCATGTATATCAAACCCACAATTACAGTGCCATTTATACACACCCTTAGCTTTGGTCTTTGATCATTTATAGAAGTCTGCCAGAATGTGCATTTCCTATTTCCTGTAGGAATTTTTTATTTATCCTCCATATTTATTCCATCCTCCAGAACAGCATGGTCTTTTACAGAAGGCTCTGGATTTTTTAATTTTTCTGGTGAGACTTGTCTTCCACAGTGACTGGGAATGACTGAATCACTTTTGACTTGAGGGCCTCTGAGAGGCCCCCCAAGGAGTTTCCCAATGGTATGGGGTTGCCTTGTCTGTCTTTTATTGATCTGCATTCATTGGTCCAATGTCAGCCTTTGCCACACTTTCTATATATACCTGAAGGCTGAATCTTCCTGTTCTTGCCATTCCCAGAGCAGATATTATTCCTAGGAATTCCCTATCTATAATCCCTTCTCAGATGTCCTATTCTACAACAGTTAAAACATTTGGCATTTTGATGCCTCCTCATACCTTTGGAAATTGCTTCTCCTGCCCAAGATTCAGTATTATAGTTAAATGTCTCATTGTTCATTGTATGCAGGATCCATTCATCCATAGGTGCTGATCTAACCTTTAAAGGCCCAAGTATATTTTGCATACTAAGCTGGCATTTTCAAAACCCAGAGATTCAATAAGTACTCATCTAGCATCTGGGTATGTTACTCCTATTTGTACAGTCTTAGTTAATCTTTGTAAGAAGTCACTAAAGGGTTCTCTCTGGCCCTGTTTATTTTCCTAGTTCCTGAATCCTGTTCCAAGCATTTAAGGCTGTTTGTGGCATAGGGACAAGATTTGTTCATTGTAAAGAGCTTGAGCTTGTGGGTCAGCATAAGTGCTCTTACCAAGAATTTGATCTTGGGAAGTCTCAAGTTTTTTTGCTTTTCCCCGTTGTTCTAAAATTTTAGCATCTTCCCTGAAATAACATTTAAACATCAGTTGAGGCCCATCATCGAGGATTGCTGAAACTAACTGAAGCCAGTTGGTGGTGTAACTTTAATTCTAGAAGCCCATATCTTTACCATCTCCCTAACGAATGCGGAATACAAGCCATAAATTACAACAGCTTGCTTAATTTATTTTAGATAATTCATTCCTATAGGTATCCATCTACCTTCTTTGGATCCTTTTGAGCCTTTAGAACTTGATGCTTTGTCAGAGTAGATTACAGGTTGGAAGTAAAACCCTGGGTAAGTCATCTCTTACCCAGCTATGTTTAATCCTGTCCTTGTACCTTTATCCCCTGCTCATCAGCTCAAATAATTTCCAAAATCATTTCAAATCTTTTTACTACTGTGTTTTGTAAAACCAGAATCTTCTAGCCTGTATATATCGCTAGTGATTTCATTGAAGCACCTAGCTTCTGGTTCTCATTCTGCACATGGGATTCCAAGGTCTGAAATTTTTCCTTTAAAAATAACATCCCATCTTTGGATAGCATGCAGATTGCCATCCTGGAGAGATACTCTATCTGCTATCCTAAAATTCTTGATGGCAATATTGTCTGCAATTATATTACTTTCAAGTTTATTGATTTATTAATAAAATATTTACCTGGTATGAGGTCCAGTAAATTATCTTAGGGGTAATAATCTTTATTGCTCAGCAGTTGTCGTGTTGACTAGCGGCAGTGCAACCAGTGGCAATACGAATGGTCCTGAGCCGCTTTGGTTTCCCCCCTGGTGCTGGTTAAATACTGAGAAATGTGCTTTGCCTGACAAATTAAAAGCAATTAAATCAATTCCATACGTGGAGCAAGAAGCCCAGAACTCACGGGCAGGGAGCACAAACCAGAAGCTGTGTAAGTCGCCAGAGGCAGGGAATGTGGGGTGGGAAGTGCATGAGCTTGGGAAATTTCCAAGTTGCCACAGGCAGTTAGCTCTGCTGTGGTGGGGTTTTTACAAAAAACCACTTAGGTAAAAGCAAACAAGCAGGCAGGAGTGGGAAACTTTCTCGGCTGTGGACTGCCTAGGCCTTTAAGCCAGTCCACCCAGTAGGTGTGGAATTCGGATCCACATGGGGCACCAGATGAAGAGGGACGCTTAAAAGAAATCCCACAGCACTCAGAATTGAGCATAACAGAGGGTTGTTCATTTAGGGGTATCACAAATCACGGTCCTCTGCTCAAACGGGAAACAGCAACTGAATCCCACGGCCAGAAGAGAGACCTGAAGCACTTTACCTCGGCATATGTAGCATAAGAGGCCACGCCCAAGTGGGTGGGTAACTTCAAACCTACTAGCTGTAGGAATTCCTACAGCACGCCTCTGCCCCCCATGTGCTGGGACTCATAGTGTGTACAATCATGACACCCCTCACATGGCTTTTTATAATACCTGTCATACATGACTGCTGCCACACAGCTCAGAAACACAGTAAGAGCTCCCGGGCCACAGCATCCTGGACACGGACAGCTTGCAGCTCAGCTAAGACCTGCCCAGGAGTCTGACTGACAGCTTTACTCTACCTAATCCACGCTTACATTAAAGCCCCATAGGCCAGTGCTGTGGGGGTAACAGACCCCCATCCCCCTCATTGTCCATCCACCCCACTGACACAGAATTACCTGGTAACTCTGGCTTGGCCTGGACCCGTGCTTCTGCAGTGCCCCTTTTCTTGCTTTTGTTTCCATGGGCACCTTTTGGCATTTGCTCTCTGGCTGGGTCCTTACTCCCTTGTGTAATCAGGCTCTGGTGGCCAATGCTATGATGAATGGGCTTCCTCAGGCAAGGAGGCAGTGACTGAAACCCTGCCAGCTGTGTGGCCTCAGCTTGCACCGCACTCCCCCAGGATGAGCCTGTGTGTCACAGCACTGGGCAGCAGTTCCTGGAGGCAGCGAGCCCTTTGCTCGAGCCATGGCCTCTCAAGTGGTTATAATTTCATTTGGCTGCTAATTGGTTGGCCTGTTGCATCACACTGCCCTGACCCCTTCTTTATACTGGATTTTTTTTTTCAGGAATACTTGTGTGAGGATGAAGCTATCTCAGAATGACTGATGTGAATGATGAAAACAAGGCTGCATGTTTTAGCAGGGAACATCTGTCCTCTTGCTGGTCCAGAGGAGGAGGGACCAATGCGGTAGCCTGTGAGCCCAGCACCTAAACCTTGGTGGAGAGCAGGGTCAGTCTTATTTTAAAATTCACTTTAAATTAACATGTATATATATGTGTGTGTGTGTGTGTGTGTGTGTGTGTGTGTGAGAGAGAGAGAGAGAGAGAGAGAGAGAGAGAGAGAATGAACAACTTGCAAAATCCATGGTCTCTTCTTTTATTGTGTGAGTTCCAGAAGTTGAACTCAGGTCACCAGGCTTGGCTGTAAGCTCCTTTACCTGCTGAGCCGTCTTGCTTGTCTTCATTTAACACATTAAAAATGTTTACTCTTATTTTATGCACATGAATGTTTACCTGCATGTATGTAATTGTAAACACCACATGTGCCTGGTGCCCACAGAAGGCAGAGGAAGTAATAAGAACCCTTTGAACAGGAATTAGAGACAGTTGTGCGCTGGGAACCGAGCCTAGTACCTAGGAGCTGTCTCTCCAGTTCTCATTCAACACTTTTTTAAGTGAACACATGTTGTGTGCCAGGCACTGGGTATATGACATTAATCAATATAGACAACAAGCTTGGCCCACATAAGGCAGATCTTATGTGATGAGAGTGGGTGTGTCACAAACTACTATCAGAAAGAAAGGGGGAGAAGAACCCGACCTCAGGGACACTTCTCAGTACCCACACAGCCCCCAGCTGAGCAGGTACTGACTCCTTGGTCTCAAGTTTGACTCTCACAGCCCAGACATACGTGATAAGGACTAGTATAAAGAAAGACACCCCCCCCCCAGAGTCACACCCAAATCTTTGTTTTTGGAGACAGGGTTACTCTGTGAAACAGTCCAGGAAATCACTACGTAGGCCTGGCTGGCCTTGAACTCACAGAGATCCACCTATTCCTCCCAAGTGCTGAGATTAAAGGCGTGTGCCACTATCGCCCGGCCTCACTCCCAAACCTTAACGGCGGAAGAGCTGTTGCCCAGGTGGTGGACTCCATCTCCCCTGCCAGAACATACTGTCTGCCAGGGCATTTTCTCCTCTGTCTCTCCAATCCTGACTGTAAAACCAGATATTCCAGTCTACACTGTACAGTGGGGCAGTCAGTCGGCTGACAGACCAGGACAGACCTGGCAGCCTGGGCCTGTGATAGAGGGGCAAGGAGCCGCACCCCACCCTCAGTTAGAACAAGAACAGTCCTCTCAACCATTGCCTTATTACCCTGGGGCAGAATCACCTTCAAGAATCTCTTGTCTTTTTTCAGTCACCCAGTTTCTTTGACTGAGACATACTCTGAATTTATTTGTTGTTGATGGTGGTGGTATTTTTTTTTGTTTGAGGCAGGTTTTCCTGTGGCTCAGGCTGGCCTTGAACTCACATAGTTGAAGATAATCTTGAATTCCTTATCTTCCTGCCTCCACCTCCCAAGTGGGGATTATAGGCAGGTGCCATCATGCCTGGTTCTATTGCAGTGCTCGGGATTGAGAGCCTAGGGCTCGGTCCATGCTGGGTAAGCACTCTGCCAGCTGATTGGTGCTCATCACTTGTCGCCTGAACACAGGGAGGGCTGGGGTCTAGTGATGCCCGTGTTCCATATCCCGGGATCTGGGCGCTGCTTGGCCCTGCCCACATTGCATTGCACAGCTTTCTGCATTTTGTTTCAGCAAAGCCCACCTGCCCATCATTGCCTGACCACTTTTCATTTTGCATCCTAGGCCTTTGCTGGGTTAGCATTCTTGTCTGGATGTGTTTTCCCTGGTTTGCCAGTTCACTGTCATTGACCAAGCTGGGTGACTGTGGACGACTCCACCCTTTCTACCTCTGATGTGTCTCAGAGGACCCACAGTTCTGTGGTTTTGGAGTGCAGGCAGCTGGGTATAGACCTTCTCTTCCAATTGACTCTCTGGTCTCTAGAGCCTGCCAAAGCGTATGACATACAATAGGTGCTTAATCATGATTAAAAAAATGAAGTGAAAAGTGAGAAGGTCACAAAAGAGAAGACAAAGATGGAGAGCAAGCCCAGGGTCAGAGGAAGAAGGGATGGGGGCTGTCATCTTGTTACACTGCAGGAAGAGTTGGCTGACTTGCCTCCCCTTTCTTCCTTTCTCTTCTAGCTAACACTTCAGTTGCCTCAGCTGTTGTTCTTTTTTAAAAAATGCTGCAAGATCCCCGCGGCAGTAGGCAGCAGAAATGCTATAGGTCCCAAATGGTGGCAGCGGGCCATGTGGTGGCAGGCAGCGGGCTCTGGGAGCAGCCAGTCACAGAGCGGCGGCCCGAGCGGTGGTGGCCGGCCATGTGGCAGCAGACAGTGGGTGCTGGTCCCCGAGCAATGGCTGCCGGTTCCAGAGCGGCAGCCCGAGCGGTGGCGGCGGGCCATGTGGGGGCAGACAGTGGGCCCCAGGCAGAGACGGCTGCTGGTCTCAGAGCAGTGGTGGTGGGCCATGTGGCAGCAGGCAGTGGGCCCCAGGCAGAGTAGGCTGCTGGTCCCTGAGCAATGGCTGGTTCCAGGCAGGGAGACACATGGCGGGCGGGCAGAAGACAGAAACATGGATAGACACGACATGCAGGGTGAGGTTGAATGTTTATTCAGGGGGTTATGGAGGAGGAAGGGTGAAGAGGGGGACAGAGAGAGAGGGAGAGAGAGCGAGAGAGAGAGAGAAGAGGAGAAAGAGACAGAGAAGGGAGAAGAGAGAAGTGGGGAGAGAGGCAGAAGCGAAGCTGCCTCTCCGAGAGGAAGATGGAAAAGAGAACGAGCTCAGGCCGGAAGCTGAAGATCAGCCTGCCTCAGCGGATGGGGAGGGGAATGGGTGTGGCTTGTTTCTTAAAGCGACAGGAAAGCACAACATTCCCAGGTCTTCCTTATAATAAAAAGCAGGAGACCAGGCATCACAGCCCAAAGGAACTGGGGCAGCGAACTCTCAAGACTGCTTCTGGCTGATTGTGGGCGTCGTCTTTGGGGGGGGGCGCAAGAGAAGGCTGGGTGCTGGTCACATCCTGGCATAGCTGGTCTCTTTACTTCTGACCGATGTCTGTGGCATGGGAATGTCTGGTGTCCGTAAGGTATTGGCAGAACAAAGAACAAAGTTAAATTAAGGGAAAAAAATTTTAGGACCAGGGAATTGTGGGGGATGTATCTGACCTGTTTAAGGTGGATCCTTTTAATCATCTTGTTCTTCATGACCCTTCTTGGTGAGGCCAGACTTTTCCTGCTGTTCTGACATCTAAGAGATGCTACATCTGGTCAGATATGATGGGATTTGGGGGAGACACGCTGAACACCCACAATTTCTAGCTCCTCTGTTTACAACAGTTTCTTTCTGGCTGATGGAAGCCCTCCACTGGATCAAACCTGTACCACTCGTTTGTTCTCATCAGCCAACTCCAGCCCACCCCATCTCTCCAGGGGAGGCTTCTTGGACTAGTTCCTGGTTCCTCTCATGCTTCAGCAGCCCAGCACACTCCTGCTATGTTCACTGAGGCCTTTGTCTTCTGACCTGAATGTTTGTGCGTCAACCAGTTAATCAGATGTCATTGGGGGGGCAGGAACTGCTGTGACTGAAGGAGATTCAAGAAAACAAGGCAGGGCCCCTGTGCTTAGAGAGTGTTCGTGGGTGGAAAGGGCAGGTTAGTACAGAAGTTTGCATATTGGACGTCATCTTATAGCTTCAAGACCTGTGTGGAGCCTGTTATATAGCAAGGGCAATCAGCAACACCTCAAGGCCTCACTGTACCCTTTTCTGCCTCCCATGCTACCCCTTTGGCAGCTGTTCAGAGTCCAGGGAGTAAACTGCTTGAGAAGAATTTGGTGACTTTAATACTTGGCCACATCCAGATCTCCCTTGGTGACGGCTGATGCAGGACCATGAACTTAAGAGTTGTTGGAGACTGAATTTAGGATCTGACGCACCCACACTCAAAGCCTGGTAATGCCATAGCTTGAGCCTTGGGGAAATTGTCACAGTTTGCCTCAGCTTCTCTCCTGTCAAGTAGGACACAAGTACCTGGCTCATGTGCTAGCCACGAATCAACTGGTGACCACCTTTCAAGAGAAGCAGCAAGAGGGTTGGTCACAAAGGAGAGAACGGGAAAGGCAGGCAGTAAGCCAGAAAGGCTAGTGGCACTGACTGGAGTTGAGAAGGCCAACAACCGTGTTCTGGGACACTTGCTGCGTGCTGGCCCTCTGCTCAAAGCCTCATACTGCCCAGATTACAGCAAGAGAGAGCCTAAAGAGATTAAAGAATCTGTCTGACATCGCTCAAAGCCAGGATTTGAACCCTAACTCCTGGCTACCAAACCCTGCCCCATCCCTCTCCAGTGCTGCCAGTGAGGGCTGAGAAGCCAGGATCTATCTGTCCCAGCAGGGCCTGAGGTGTAGCGCCTGCACAATGGGAGGGTACGCGAGCCAGGAACTAGGCTGGAGATTTAAAAACACACGCACACAGTCAGAGACACAGGGACACAGGTCATCCTTGAAACAAGAATGCCAACTTTATTGTACTCCAGGAAAGCCTATATAGGGATCCTTAACCAATAGCCACGCCCCAGCTCTTGGGATTTTCACCTGTAAAACCCACCAGAATTCACTTGCCCGCCATAAGGAACTCATGAGGGCCTCATGCTCAGAGCAGCTGCAGGCAAAGGAAAACAAGTTGTTTCTCTCCAGCAGGCAAAGGGTCCAAGGCAGGGAAAGAAAGTCAAGGGGTCAGGGGCCCGCAGCCCCCAACACTGAGGCAGACAGAGATCCTCTTCCTATGAACTCTCCACACCCACCTCTGTAAAATGCTGATGAGCTGCCAACTCCAAACAGCTATGGTCATGTGACCGGTGGCCCTCCTCATTCTCCAGAACTCTGCAGGAAACGCTAAGAACTGGGAATGCCTCTGTCCCTTCAGCTGAACTGTTGGGACAGTTCCAGGATAAGTGGGCTATGAGGAAGAAATTCATCAGACTTATCCCTGTGGGAGGAGAATGAGGGACAGTGGTCAGGCTGATGCCTCCAACAAGCTGTCCTGGGTCTGATTTCCTCCCACATGCCAGACCTGAGACCTAGCATAGGTGGGGACAGGAGGAGG